TTAAATATATTCGCAATAATCTGGGCCTGGAAGACTATATAGAGCTGTTGTCTAAAGCTGAAGTTTTGAGGGTTAAACCTGAGAGCAGATTACTTTATTTGTGATTCACATCTTTCCTCCAGATGTTTGAATCCGTTGACTTCAACTAGCTGAGTCACCGTGATACATCAGCGCATCTCAAGAGACGACAAACAACTTGACCAGAGAGCTTTAGATAGGACGGAGGATTAGCCAATCAGAGTCATGAGTGGACTGAGTTCACTGTAAAACTATGTGTTTGGACCAGGAGGAGAAACACCATCACTGGTGACCACAAAGAGATATTTATGTTACCTGGACGGCACGTCTTCATAATGTCTGACAACTGTTTGTTTTTCTTTTGTTCAGCTGGAGTCTGAACATCCTGGTTAAACCGGTATGTTAGCCTGATTATCCATCATAGTTGATATGAAAAGTGAGCCCGGTTGGATTTAGATCGGTACAAAGAGCAAATCAAATATGCGTCAAATAACCGGCTTCTTGGTGAAAACTTTTCAAGAAATCATCTTGTTGAGTTTTAAGTCTTCTTTACACAAACTTCCACATACAGTGTAGTGTAGAAATCATATTTTTTACTATCTGAGAAGTAGGCTGCATCTTTTATGGGGCAGTCACACCAAGTGCGAGTAAAATCATCTACACGCTTTATTTGCGCGTAACTAGATGCATGAATGAAAAGTATTTACTCGCTTAATTCGCTTTACGAATTAATGAGTCTCCATCGAGCATGGTGGGAGTGAACCACATTCAGTGGATTGCTGATTTGTTTTTGTTGTGGAAGGCCCAAAACCGTCAGAGATGTTGCCGTCGCTGTGTCAGGGTCTCCTCCAATTGCTGCACCCAGAGGACAGCTGTTTCCAGTAGTATTTTCAGGTTACTTGAACCCAATTTGACAACCTGTTGGTGAGGGTCGGATTTGTGTATATTAGTGAACATCTTCATGTCTGTTTTCATATGTCACCCGGAAATCTTTATGCTGATTGGTTATCCCGACTCAAGTATCTGCTCAAACTAAAATATTTTCAACTCTTGCGAATTTGCATCCGCTCAATTCGTGCGATTCCCTCTGCCAGAGTAGTACAAGCGTCTAATTGCGATTTGGCATTGACTTAACATGTAATTAATTTATGTGAATGATTTAACTCGAGCGTGAAGGCCCCATTACACCAGTTTGACCAATATGATGGTGTATGTAGAGGAAGTTGTTCTGTGATGTCGGGGTATTTTACCCTGAAGATGGCGCTTTAAAAGGCAAGAAACCACTTAGGAAACATAAACAGTAAAACAGGTCTAGTAGCAGCTCCTCTTTAGACACATCTCCACCTGTTTGTACTCAAGTAAACTGGGTTGTACTACTAAGTAAATAAAGCTGTCAGGAGTCATAGCTAAAACACAAACAAGCAAAACTAATGCACATATACTAAAAAACTATAAGCGCTACTTCTGTTGAGCTGAGCTGTACCACCAGCTACCTAAAGACAAAAACACAGAGTATTAGAGAGAGCTTCACGGTTGTACAAAGACATGTTATAAAACAAACAAAAGGAGTCTTCGTTCTGGGTCTTTCTGTCGTCCAGATTCAATGGTGATGGTTACCAGCCCTCTGGATCCTGTTATGGTCATTTCTGGCTATACAGTAAAATTGTGGAGATGATCAAAATGCTGAACTAAAGGAAGTCAACAAGCTAATTGCTGATTAAACTGAATACGGGCAAGATCACTTGACTGATTTAGGGCCTGTGCTCACTTTTTCTTACTGGCAGTTACTGTTGCCTCTTTTCCCCTCCTGGCTTTTAATGTTCTTGATCACTTTATCACTTGACACTCAAAAGACAGATCCTGGTATCAGCAGGTGACCTGGACTTGAACATGGTATCATGTCAGGATTGTTTTCTCCTACATCAGTGTTGTGAAATCAGAAGACTTGCCTCTTGATAAATAGATGCTGTGAGCTCCCAAAGAAGCAGCCAGTGGACACAGGCCCTTGTCTTTCTGATTCCCTTTGATAGTCTCACCTGGTGAATGATGCCGCTTGCTGCACAATAGATCTTAAACCCCACTGTAGTCTACATTCAGACTCACACAAACACACACAAAGGTGCATCGTTATTTACACCAGCAGTTTCTGACGTACACAGACTCCGGCTGGTATGCAGAGCCAGACATTCCTCCATCACGCCGGCTGTTGGCCCACGCCTGGCGCTGCAGCTCTGAGGAGCCGAGCCGAGCTGCACAGTGACGCACGATGCAAAAACACACCTGCTCTGCTCATTGATGTTATTGTTTTCTTTGTTTCACGGGCAGCCAGGTACAAAAAGAAAACACACTTTTAACCAGAATCGGTCTGATATCGCACCAAAATTTAGAGTAATAATGAACTTTGGTAGAAAAGTAGAGTGTAGTATTTACTTTAAAAGTTGTTCTTGAATATCTGAGGGGAAATATTTGGTTGTATTCTGTTTGGTTGTGTGTTTTTTTGTTGTGTGTGTGTGTGTGTGTGTGTGTGTGTGTGTGTGTGTGTGTGTGTGTGTGTGTGTACTCTGAGGGCAGATTATCTCATCCAGATTAAGGAAACAGGGGAACACCTGCCAAAATACTGGTTACTTTTGGTACATACCACAAAGAGTGTGTGTGCCTGTGTGCATGTGTGTGTTTTGTTGTGTGTGTGTGTGTGGAGGTGATAAGCAGATAAGATAAGTAACATGTAAGCAGAGTCAGGGCGATGGCAGGCGAGTCGCACGCCATGAGCTCCTTTACTCTCCGACATCTTTTTTTTTTTTACCTGCAGTCACTTCCTCCATGCCTCAGCCTCAGGAGTGTGTGTGTGTTTGTGTGTGTGTAGGTTTGTATATATGTGTGTGTGTGTGTCTGCAGGCGTGGTGTGCGTAGCATGAGAAACCCAGCGGGGGTTTTTCTGTGTCGCTCTGCAGATTGACGGAGGGGGGGGCCAAGCTGTGATAACAAACTTCATTCACTTCAGAAATAACAACAGAGCACTCGGAGTGAACCGCCGGCTCCTTTTTCCTCTGGGAGACCCCCCCCCCCCACCTCCACCCCTTCAATCTGCCCGCGCAAAAGAACTCAACTCATTTACTGTCATTAGCTGTTACATCACAGGATGGAGCTCTGGATCGCTTATCTGCACATTTGCACTTTGCACAGGCAGACGCTCCTGCTCCTGAAAACACAGAGAGTTTGAGAGCCGATGTTTAAAAAGTGATGCAAAATTCAGATTCAGATATACGCCCATATCTACAGAAGAGGATTAGGGCCACAAGAGGAGAAAAAGATAATTACAGGAGGGAGAGTTTTTTAATTTCAATTTCGAGATTAAAGTCCAAATTTCAAAAAATCCAAATTTCAACTTTATTCATGTCAACTTTAATCTCAAAATTTCGACTTTCATTTCAAAATTTTAATTTTCTTTAATGTCGAAATTTCAATATTATTCACAACATTTTGTAATCTTTTGACTTTTTTGACATAATTTTGATTTTTTATCATTTCGACATCTTGACTTTAATCCCAAAGTTTCGACTTTAAGCTCCTTCCTGTAATTTTTTTTCTTTATGTGGCCCTAATCCTCTTTCGTACATACTAAAAGGAATAGTTCGGCCTTTTTAAGTGAGGTTGCACAGAGAACATGAGACGCTCAGTGTTAAACCCGCAGATGAGGGAGGTTTGCATGGGTTCGTCATAGTAAACTGGAGCTTTGTGCTGCTTTGATGAAAAATGTACCTTAGCCGCTGAACCCTTTAACACCTGTAATAATAACAACAGTCCGCCTGGTCATTATTCTCTTTTTTTAGCTGTAAATGTGTCAAAAAACAACTCTTGTATGAAATCTTTTGCTTCTTTTTTCAGGATAATTCAAATGTCAAAACTTCTCAAGAATGATACATTTTTACATTTTATATATTCTTTCAAAAAAGCTGCTTTCAAAAACATTTTTAACACTTCAAATTAACATTAAACTGTAATATTGCACAACTAAGCTTTAAAACTTTAATTTAGCAGAACAGACTTGGTAGAAAGGGAATATGTTAAGTGATCTAATGTAGTACATAATCATCTAAATATTAATTTCATATTTAAAGGTGTGTTTCTGAAGAGGCACAGCATTCAAAAATGGTCAAATATGAGCTCTTTGTATTAAGTGAGTTGCTGGAAAATTGGCATTACTTTGAAGATGGAAAAGAAAAAAAAAAGATGTGTGCAAACAAATTAATTTAATACTAAAAACTCGTCTCATAGAGGCTCGTACTTAAAATGCATCATGGGAACTTCTTGTCCTTTTAGGCCATCACTTCAGCAGAGGGAGGAGTGAGCAAGGGAGCGTTTCAATCTAGGATCTGATATCACAGAATCTTTATATTTCTGCAAACGTTTCTGTAAACACTCTTACTGAACTTCTGTGAATTTGCATTTGGCAGCCTGATGATTCAGTGAAGCGATATTCTAAAATGTTCTGAGCTGTAAACAGAAGTGAGAATGAAAACAAAATCAGATAAAGATTGATGTGTCTTCATATTATTACTCTTGACAGGCTTTATGTTATTTGTCAGATCGACTAACCCTCTCAGTGATCTTTACCTGATGACGTGTAGCACAAGAGGGCAAACAACCTCAGGGGTCATCACAGGTCATCTTCAGGTCGGAGGTCAGCAGCCAGTCTGAGAGCAATGTTACTGTCATGGTAGTAATGACAGGAGATTAGCATCAGCGGGACCTTTAAACCTGACTGTGTGGAGCCAGAGAAAGTAACCACGGTGACCTGTAACACAGATACCTCTGACTAACTACCTGTCAGGACCGGACCGCTCACACCTGAGTTTAAGTCACTGAGTTATTCATTCATAATTCATTTCCACAGAGCGGCAGACACTTCCCGAAACATCCCATGTGATCGCCTCAAATTCCCTCTGAAGAGGTTTAGACGGTCAGGAGAGGAGGGGGAGAAAGGGGTTAATGGTACAGGTGAGTACAGCCCAGGTATGTACACGCCATCACACAAACATTCCCACTTAAACTCAGAGACGCGTTAGTTTGGAGTGACTGTTTTTCTCACACTTCACTTCACAAAGCACTCCCATCACGTCTATCATAATGATTTTCATACCTCACACATTATTCACACCTGGATGATTCATATTTTGGATTTACAACAAAGATGGTAGCTTCATAACGTTACAGAACTATCAGAGAGGTATCATGAGTAACTGGTGTTTACAGGAGTTCCAGTTTGGTTGCTCTCTCTCTCTCTCTCTCTCTCTCTCTCTTCTAACAGGTCCTATAGATGTCTGAAACTGTTATTACCCACGACGGTTGGGCGTACGGCTGGTCACAACATGCCAACCTGAGGACGATCCTTCGACATGAATCTTCTACATCATCGACACCCACACAAGCAGGTGCAGTAAGTAATGCTCTAAAGTCTGTGGTGATTCACACGCTCCAAAATAGAGCTCTGACAGCTTTTGTGCTGCTGCTGCTGCTCGCTCACATGACTCTGATTAGCTGCACCTGTATGCTTACAGTCAAAACATCCTTTCACACAAACTGCTTTTTAATAATGATAATAATAATGCATCAGATTTCATATAGCGCTTTATCAGAGTCCCTCAAAGTGCTTTAGATCGGATACATCATTTATTCACTCACACAGTCACACTTTGGTGGTTCTGGGACAGACTGACGGAAACATGGCTGCCAGTTTGTGCCTACGACCTCTCCGACCACCACCGCATAACACTCACAATCATACCCCAGAGGAGGACACACACTGGGAGCAAGGTGGGTTAAGTGTCTTGCCCAAGGACACAACAGACAGACTACAGATAGAGGGAATTGAACTGCCAACCTTCCAGTAGTAGGACGACAGCTCTACCACAAGCACAGAAGGTCAGCACACGGAAATAAAAACAAAAGCTCAGTTAAAACAAAACTTCAGAATTAAAGGCCAATTTCATATGACATAAGGAACCCAGACAAACAAGAACCCTGCAACAAAAAATGAGACCATGGGGGTCAAAATAAAAACATAAAATATTGAAGTATATAAGTGTAACAAAAGATAAAAAGACAGGAAAGCCGAAGAAAGACAGAGGCATCAAATAAAAGCAAGTCTGTAAAAGTGAGTTTTTAAATTTGACTTAAATGAAGCGACCGTCTCTACTGTAAACCTTATCTCCTCTGGCAGGTCGTTCCGAAGTTGAGGAGCTCTGATGGAGAAAGATCTTTCACCTTTAGTTTTAAGCCTCAAATTTGGAACGACCAGGAGGCCTTCGCCAGAGGATCTGAGGCTGCGAGTTGGCTCATATGATATTGAAAGGTCTAAAATGTAACGTAAAATTCATTTAAGGTCAAACACACCGTAACACCGAGTTAGACCCCCCCTCCAGAGATGAATGTTGCAGACTGCGTGTTTCTCTAGTTATACCAACTTTAGTTACGACTGGGGAGCCCTGATGAGTCAATCATTACTTCATGAAAATACAATCAGACCGAGACGCCAAGGCAGAAGAACTACCACGTCTGCAAAATGATTAACATGATGATAATTACTTTATGGAAATGATCTGCTGCACTCTGTGATCGACTCGTCAGGTCTCCCTACAAACAAGCGGCTGCAGGAAGAGAGTGGGTGAGTTGTGTTTAGTCTCTTTGCCAAAGAAATGAGTCAAAGTTAAAAAGATGTTTGGTGTCTAGTACTATGTCTGTGACCCTCTATGTCCTGTTGATGAAGTTAGGTGCTGTTCTGAGCATTATTTGTGGCTATAGAGTGGCGTTTTGGTTGAGGTTTGCATGTGGAGATGTAAACCCCCGTATTGCTATTGTTCGGTCATATTAAAGTTGGTATAACTAGAGAAGCAAGCAGTTGGCAACATTCATCTCTCGACAGGGCATCCAACTCTGTATTATGGTGAGTTTGACCCTAAATTAATTTTTCGCCAGAATATCCCTTTAATCTCAAAACACCATTTCACACAAAAACTGCTTTTTTTGGCTGCCTCTGACTACAAACTTCTCCAAAACAGTGTCGTTCCTGTTTTATCAACCCCACAATCTCATGTTTGCACACTTTCATATTTGTTCAAACTTATGGTCGCCTCAGGCTTCAGTCAATCATCTGATTGGGTCAGCCATGTGACGAGGTTGTAGGTCAAAGGTCAGTCATTCCTCGGCCTGACCGGCTGCCTGCACAGTCATGTTACCTTAACGGCTCACTGGATGAACAACACGAGTGGTGAGCGACTCAAACACACAAATCAGTACACACACACACACACACACGGCGTGTAAAAACACACACTCAGGTTTGCATCATCCTCTCACAAGTTGTTTGGCTCTCACCTCAGAGTGTCTCAGTAAACAGTGTTTTGAAGAAGTTTACGCTCCTGTCACCTCGTTCTTTCCAAACTAACACTTTAAATACATATTTATCTAACTGAAAATACACACAAAAACACTATATATGCAAACACACAATCTGTAGGCGCAGCATAAGAGCGGTGAAATGACTCAACCGTGCACAGATTACCTCTCATCTCTGTCAAAGGAGGTTTTGCCCTCTGATTTCGGGACCTTTTTTCGGGGCTTTTAAGTAAACTAATCTTGAGCAAATACCACAGGCTGTTTCTGAAGTCTGCGCACAAAAGAAAGTCTTAATATATCTGAATAAGAGCAAACAGACCCGACAAGAGGCTCTCTGGAAGTTTGGGATCAAAGCTTCGGGGCACAAAGGCAGAGATTTAGCATGTTAGAGCGATCGTCACCCTTTCACAGCCAACTATTGTCTCTGTGTTTCTCTCCTCAAGTTCTTTGAATTCCTGCTCTGTGTAAAACGCTTATTGTTATCCGTGGCTTTAACCGCGGCAAACCGTGTTCTTAAACATCTCGACTCTGCCTTTCAGACTCCCTCTATTGAAAGACAGATTAAAAAAAAGAAGAGAGGGGAACATCAAACAGACTAACATTGCGGGTTCATGTTTTGCTGTTCGGTTATTGTTGACAGACCTGACCCGGGTGTAGTGATTCCCAGCCGCTTGCAAACACCTCTTTTTTTGTGGTTGTGTTTTAAGTGGTTGTTGTGCTGAGTTGCCGTGTATGCTGGGCGTGCTCCAGGTGTATTTGTACAAGATGCAGAGTTTCTGTGTGCATAAGCAGGTTTCCTCCTCATCCCAGATCCATTTTTAGCTCCAAAACTGTTTGATGATTTTGGCGTCGATGATCCCTCGGTTGGTTCGTCATCATGCAGAGTGGAGGTATTGCACAATGTAGAGTTGGGATTATTTTGTTTCCAAGGAAGCAGCCCTGCAGTTATCACCTCCCACGTTACATTGAAACATGTCTGGATGTTGTGAGGACTGATCTGTACAAGCCCTGCACTTAATTTGATGTAGGTGAATTGATTAGATGTTATTAGACATTGTTTCCACCTGATGGTGTCTGATTAGATCAGGCTCTGCAGACCGTCTGTAAATTTCCTCAGAAATCTCTCCCTCCATCTCTCGCTCCCTCCGTGTGTGTGGGAGGATGAAACCTGTGTGATGTTTGAACAGCACACCTGTGCAAAGCAGGTTACACATTACCACCATGAGTCCGTGCTGAGCTTGTTTGGATCATGAGTCTGAGTAAGTCTTCAAACTTAGATATGATGACTGTTCAAATATAACTCTGTTTAACTCCAGTAAGTTGATAAAACAAGTATTCAGTGGAGTAACAACCATAAAACCCAAAGTTTTAAAAGAACAGATTAGACAGTAAGAAAAATTATTCATATATGAGCTTGTATCCACCTCTGGTGCTCAGATACTGATGCTATGTGCAAAAGCTTTTCTATTTTATCTAATAAAAACGTCTTAATAAACTTAATTTAAGCCACATTTATTTCACAAGTTCAGAAAACGATCTTATTTGAAAATATGAAGGTCCAAAAATGTATAACCTAGTTTGTCTATAGGATCATTTATTTTATTTGTACCGTTTTGAGACTCCCTGAATGATTCAAGTCCTTCTCGATACTGCTATCAAGTCTTTATTCTTAACCCTAACCCTCTAACACTACCACTAACACTAACCCTTCAACCATAACTCTGATCCTCTACCCTCCAAACCTGATCCCTTAACCTTAACTCCAACTCTAACCCTTCTAACCCTCTAACCCTAACTCTCTAACCTTAACTCTAACTCTCTAACTCTGACCCTCTAACTGCAGTGTTTCCCTTACATTCACTCAGCAGCAGGACACCACCGCTGCCATATGACGTACGCCGCTACTGAAATTTCACATGATCATTAATATCAATGCGCCACTAATGATTTCTACTGACACTGTGTGAGCCGAAGAACACACAACATTATGTTTGACTTGTTTTAAGTCTTTAACAAGTGCATCAAATCCTGTTGGACTCTCTTCCATCCATGTGAAAGGTAACGTTCTAGCTCATACATGGTCTATATAGCAAGCAGGGTAACGTAATGTGACGCTAACGTAACAGCAAAGCTCATAGCATGAGCCAAAAGAGAGTGGGGGAAACAGCGTACCCCTCAGACAGAGAAGCGCCGCTGCTAAAAAAAACTGTAACTCTCATCCTTACTCTCTAACCTTAATTTTAACCCCAATCCTCTGACCCTAAATCTCTAACCCTTATCCTTAGCGTTCTAACCCTAACCCCCAAACCTTAACTCCAACTCTCTAACCCTAAACATCTCACCCTAACTCTAAAGCCGCGTTCAGACCAGCCGCGACCTGACGCGACTTGGCGACCACCGGCTTCCTGCGACGCGACCATGCGCGACCGGGCGACCGGTCGCCAAGGCGCGTCCCCGAGGTCGCGTCGCCGAGGTCGCAGGACGCCAAGTCGCGTCGCTCCCAAAGTTCAAATATTTGAACTTTGGGAGCGACTTCGTGCCGCGACAGCCAATCAGGGCTCTGCTGACGTCAACAAACCGGCGAAACAAGGAAGAGGAGAAGAAGAATCACAATGGAGGAGCAGTTAATCACATCCGTTAGCTACCACCCAGCTAACTGCCCCTGCTTACTAGGCTACATGTTTCAACGTATGTGTGTGTGTGTGTCTTTGCAGTGGATGTGTGCCGCAAGCGGTGGAAGGGGCTTAGAGACGTTTATATGAGGGACAGACAGATAGACAGGCGCTCCGAAGCTGAGATGGAGCGCCTGTATTTCGTGTCCAGGCGGGAGATGCTGCTTCCCACCTGGGCGAGGAGGTCCTCGAACTGCGCCGTCGACACACGGAAATACCGCTGGAGGCGGCCGTCGTCCAGGCGGAGTTCCTGGAGCAAGCGGTGAAATTCACCCAGCTCCGTCCTCCTCCGGATGGTTTCATGCACCCATAAACGCCGGCGGCGTCTACTGCGGATGTACAGATATGCGGCAGCACTGATGAACTGAAAACTGAGCTAGTGACATGGATGACGTCACCGGCAACCAGCCGCGACCTGCGACTGCAACTTTGGACCCGGTGTGAACACACCAGAGCACCACGCGACGCGACCTGACCGACCGACGCGACGCGACCTGGTCGCGTTTGGTCTGAACGCGGCTTAACCCTCTAACCTTGACTCTAACTCTATCTTTAACTCTCTGATTTTCTAACCCCAACTCTAATCCTCTAACCCTAACCCTCTAACCTTAACTGTAACTCCCTAACTCTAATGCTTTAACCTTAACACTAACCCTATCCCTCTAACCCTTACTAACCCTCTAACCTTAACTCTCCAACCTCAGCCCTAAATCTGACTTTAACCCTAGCCCTAATCCTCTAACCCTGTATCCCTAAGTTTGGTCCTCTAACCGTTATCCTCTAACCCTCTAACCCTAACTCTAACCCTATCCCTAATCCTCTAACCCCTAACCCTCTAACCCTTACCCTATTATTATCTTTTCCTCCACACAGTTGCATTTATACAAGTTTTTTTGTTGTCATTTTAAGGCGTGACATTTAAACACATCCTCATAACTTCTTGTTGGCTTTTGTTGAATTCTTGTCGTCCTGATCCGACCTTGAACACCTCCTACTGTATGTAATTGCGTGTTACCTCGATTGGTCAGCTTATTAACTTACATCCTGCTGATTTTGACACTGGATTATGATTTCTAACAAACAAGACTCACTCTAAAGTTTGTCTGTTCTCACCCCGGCTGCTTTTGGGGAAGAGGAGGTCGGCAGACCTTCAGCAGTCGATGATGGAGTTGTTTTAATTCGGTTCTGCATTTTGGTTTGATTTGATCTACAATACTGATGTGCTGCAACAGAGATTGCATTTCACCTCATCTCTATTTAATATAACCACACTTTGGCCCTTTTTGCATGTCCAGCTGTTGTTGCAATCATCTAATTAACATGACCTGACTTAACTCAAAGTATAATGTTTCTTATTTCAGGAAACTTAAAAAAATAAAAGCTACCTGCATCTTTTCCGATGGTGGTGCAACCTGGCAAGATGATAAGTTGTTATTCCTCAGAGGTCAGAGGAAAGGATGCACGGTAAAGAATGAGGAGGCTGTGATTGTTGCAGCATGCCAGTGGAGGTCATGAACCGTGTTTGGAGAGCTGAAGTCTGTTTCACCTGTCTGTTCGTGATACTGTGTGTTATTCCTGTTTGTCAAACCGCTTCTTTCTGCTGCTGCTGCTGCTGCAAAAACAACAAGAACTTTTGAACTTTCCTAAAAGGGGGTTTCACAATATCGGGGTTTTTCACCTTGTTTTGGCTGGAGGACTTTGGACCAGGTCTGATTTTATAAGATATAGTTCCTGCTCCCTATAAATTATATTTTTCTCGTATTACTTGTAAAAATAAAATCTCAACCGGAATTACCATAGCGTGTTCACACAGCACTTTAAAACAACAAATCAGCAATAATTGAGGTATGTGGGTGTTTGAATGTGTGTAATAACTGAGAAGAAGCATTATACTCATGAATGCAAACTGACAACACCTACACCCTTAGAAGTAGTGATGACTTTAGTATAATTACGAATAGTTGATATAATGACGAACAATGCAAGTTTAAGATTTCCACCGGCATCGTGACCTCTTTTTTAAATATTAGTGAAATATCGTGTCGTTAATATTCTTCGATCAATCTAAAATCAAACATTTTAATTTACTTAGATTTTATACTTTCTTTTTGTTTTTAGGATCTTCTCAGACAAGCAGACATCACATGTAGCCCAACAGTGAATACTTTACAGGATTAGATGTAAATTATCCACCATGACAGACAGAACAAGTGATCTGACAAGTTTAAACAAATACCACTGTGTTGACCCGATTATAAGATGTGATTTTGAAAGTGGAATAATCCTGTATTCTGGGTTGTGAAAGTAATAGAGAAGATTGTCATATAAGAGGAATTATTAATGTGTTCAGAATATCAGGCCTGAAAATAGAAAAATTAAAAGTAAAATCCACTCCCACTGTGAGACCGGCAGCTTTCAGGGACTTAACGTGTTTTTGAGACGTCCAGAGAAGACCTTTGTGTTTTCATTTTCTATCAGAAACAAAAGCCCTCTATGGTTACAAAACAAAGATATTCTGACCAATAGGAGGCTGTATTTGTGATCAGCTGACCTCTTAAGTACCAGTGAGAGGCCTGAGACAGACACCCCAGCACAGAACTATTAAAGATAATAATGTTTGAAATGGGTTCATTGTTGATCCAAATCCATAATTCAGCTGTAAAATGCGGCATTTTAACATCAGGCATACCCAGATTTAGAGCCCTCCCCAAGTGGCCATTTAAGGAACTGCAGTTTGCTTTTCTGAAGAGATTCCTGAAGGCTCTTAAACCTGTGAGAACTTCTACTGTCTTCATTTTATATACAAAAACACACCTGGACTGAGCGTGCTGTCACTCTTCAGCTCCACGTTTATCCACATTCGCTGTTTTTTCCTGACACTCAGCACTCGGCTGAGTCACGTGTTATTGAGTACAAATGGACAGTATGACAGATAAAACACTCATCGCTTTAACCTGGCACAGCTTAGACAGAGATAAACTGAAAAAAGCTTAAACTAAAAGGAGCTTCCTGCTCCTTTTGAAACCATGGCGACTGTTTGTGTCTGTTTATGATTTCTTCCACTTAACCGGCGGCTTTTTAATTCGCCCGAACGTTCATTTTCTTCCTGTGGCTGCAGGTTGCCACCGCTAAACGGCATGTTGCCCTCTGTTTGCACCTGAGCTCCCAGGTTACATCAGACAGACAGACAAAAACACAAACACACACACACACACAAACACACACACACACACACACACACTCGCGTTGGCAGGAATACGCCTCCGTTGGCACCGGGCGATGGGTTACGGCACGCCTCTGTTTTATAGTTTCATTAATGTGCCACAGAAAACTCCAAGTTTCACCCTGATGTGGAGTCAGAACTCTCCCAGGGGTTCACAAAGGGTTCGCCTGCCCACGACTTCAGTGTGTGTGTGTGTGTGTGTGTGTGCATGTGTGTGTGCGCGTCTGTGTGTGTGTGTGCGTGAGTTTGAGTTTGCACAAATAAACAGGTGAGCCACAGGGTGATTATGCTGTCAACTGCTGCTGAGTCATACTCATCTCCACCAAGTTAATTAGAGGTGGCAGAGCATACCTGGGTTTGCACACATGCATAAACACACACACTCACACACACACGCTCACACACATACACACGTACACAATCAGGTATAACACAAAAAAATTACACAGAAGTAGACAAATGATATATATAAATAAACTTGCGTGCCATCTGATGGTGTACACTCAACACCTTGATGGAGTTCGACACCGTCGTCTAACGTGCACGTACATGCACACCTGCAGCGCTGTGGGCTTCACTGTCACTCCTTTCCAGGAAAACCCCACGATGTCGACGACGGCTCGTCATCCAGAGCGGCTTCTGGTAACAACAGGAGCTTCTTATAAATGAAGCAGTGACGATTAAAACTCACCTTACGGTCAGACAGTCAACTTCTTATAACAACGCATGAATAAGTTAACGCAGGAACATTAATAACATGAGCGCCAAGAAACTGCAGAGATATGAACATAGAGGAAAAATTAACTTTGATGAATTTGGTGTTTATGAGTCTTAAATTTGTCACGCACTAAAAGAACATTGAATAAATACAGAATATAGACTAAATGCTGATGTTCTTGGTTCATGTTCTCCGTAAAATGCTTGTAATGTGAATTAGACTGATTGAGAAATGACAGCGCTGTGCATACCTTCCTCTCAAAGTGACTCCAAACACATTAATTCATCCTGTCAGATGCTCACTGTGCTGCAAAAACAGGTTTATTTACTAGTTTATTTACTCAGTTTTACTGTAAACCATTTAGTCGGTCATCTCCCTCTGATATTACGCTTTCTCTTTCTTCAAGGCGGCTGCTACTTCCTTCTGCCTTTACAGTAACTGCTGGATTTATCAAGAACAGGCTTGTGCGATCGTTGACACATCTAGATTTATGATCGAAGAATCATAATAGTCTTTAAAATGAGGCTCAAATGAATCCGAAACTGCACTGAAGCGTCAGCAGCTGCACAGATTTGATCAAAAATAATCAAAATGTAATAATGACAGTTTATCAAGAGAGACATTTAGGAAGTTAAGAGACAAAATAATGCAGAATCTTTCCAGATGAACTTGCTGATTTTTATCCTGAGATGTTCAGATACCTGTTCCGGCGACTTTGGTTACCGTTAATGCGGGTTTTGTTGGCGAGCACATGACTGACAGAGAGACTCCTGAGGGGACACTTTCAGCGTCGTGTACAGCAGCAGATTACAAACTCTCCTCTTTGTCCTTGTCTTGTTGTTGATGGTGACTCCATGGGTTTACAGTTTCAAGAAGGTGTGATCCCCCTCCTCATTTAGGTCTGTCGTGTCGTTGCATAATCACCCCTTTTAGAAACTTAACGCCCTGTGGTCGTTTTGTCACACACACCAGAGTCACACCTATGAGGATTATGGATATTTATGACTTTTTTCATGTTCGAGCTTAAGGTGATCATAAAATCTGACACGCTCTCAGGTGTCCATCACATCACTCTCACTAAAAAGTGATCTGTTTTTCTCAGGTGTCTTGGTAGTTTTGAGCATCCATCACGCTCCAGCGAGAATCTTTCAGCACCTTCCTTTGCCATCAGAAAAGCCTGTTTGTTTTTGCACTATTTGCAGACACAACACACTTATGTGCTCCTCCGCCTGCAGCACAACTGGCTATTCAGGTCGGTGATGAAGAAGACGCTCATATGTAGTGGAGTTTGATAGTTTTGCATAAACTGAAACACCAAATCAACCAACGGATGTAGTAATGTGTGCGAAGTTTGTTATTTAAGCTCAGTCTTTCCCTTAAGAAGCAAACAGAGAATTTACAGAGGTAATCGTATCATGAGTACCCTCAGGTTGTGTCTTCATGCTGTAAAAATACAAAGACAAGAGTACACAAACTCTTCAGAAGCTCATCCATTCAGTTTTTCTGGTTTTCTGATTAGACTCCTGAGTGTTGGAGAAAATTGGTCCAAACAGCTGATCAGCGCTGCGGGCGGAAAAAGCTTGTTCATGTGTTGTGTCTGCAAATATGTTTCTGAAGGTATAGTAACATGCTGAAAAAATGCATGGTCCAGGATTCCTCCAATTGAGCTAAATTCTGCAGCAGAGTTTACTCTGTCTGCAGAGAACTGTTAGCAGAGAGAGCCTGCCGTTTCTCCCTGCAGTGTCTCACTATAGTGTAGGGTGACCATACGTCCTCTTTTACCCAGACATGTCCTCTTTTGGGGGGCTGGCCAGCCTTGTCTAGGGGAGTTTATAAAATCCTTCAAATGTTTAGGGTTTGTTATGGAAGTTTTGAGTTTGTGTAG